CTCTCTCTCTCTCTCTCTCTCTCTCTCTCTCTCTCTCTCTCTCTGTGTGTGTGTGTGTGTGTGTGTGTGTGTGTGTGTGTGTGTGTGTGTGTCAATTGCGCCTGGCAGAAGGCTGGGTGAGAGGCAATCTGGCGGTAAGTGAGGGAAGACAATGAGGGATACAGAACCGTCTCTCTCTCTCTCTCTCTCTCTCTCTCTCTCTCTCACGCGACGGTGAGGTCGTCGTTGAAGTACAGGTAGATGATCGGCAGCAGGTGCTCCGCAGGAATCAGGGTGTCATTTGCGAATCTGGAGTAATCTTGAATCCCATTTTCTGCCAGCGTCTTCTTCATGTCCAGCGGCTTGAACCTGTACTTGTCATCGGACACACTTCTCCTCATGGCCTTCCACGTGTACGCCTTCGAGTGTCTGTTGTAGTGCAGGTACCTCTCTTGTATCTCCTCCGCCGTCTCTTCGCACGGCGCCTCCATTATTATCTCGTGATCCGTCAGCACGTTCTTCATTCTTATCCTCTGCGTCTTCAGACTCAGTCTCCCCACGCAGTACCGCGGATCTTTCCACCAATCTGGAGGGGGCACATTCTTCCACGTGGTGGTGGGTGTGAGAGAGGGAGGCACATGAATAAATCGACCTTGGGGGGTATAAAAGCACGTGAGGTTGCAGACTGGGTCGACGTAGGTCTTGACATTTTCCGTGGCTGGGTCGAACCAGTGGGTTATGTCCCGACCCGCATTCTTGCAGAGGGTCTGGGAAAGGAAGCTGCCGTCGTCGCGGACCAACTTGGTGGGATCGAACACGTGACCTAGGAGAGACACCCAAGCGTCGTCGAAGCTGACGTGCTGGGCGACCTCGGAGGGGAGAAAGAAGATCTTGGGAGGGGGAGGGACTGCCTCCTCCTGCTCCCATCGCCTGGTTTTGCTGCGGATGCCCGGGCCTCGAGGGGCAGGCTCCCCTTCCCCCGCCGGCTGAGATGACGACGCCCCATTTGCCTCTGGACAGGGCCCTTTGCGATGCGGAACCCCCTCTGAAAGATCCGTCATCATCGTCGCTCTCGGCCCCCTCGCACCCCTTTCCGCAGAAGACGAGCCTCACCCACCCACCCACCCACCCACTCTTCGATTCGACGGGTTAGTGCGTCACACGCACCCCTTCAGAGCGGATCAGCAGACGATGGAACCGGTCCCAACGGAACTGGTCCCAAACAGCGAGCGATGGGTTTGCATCACAGGGAGAGAATTTGTGTTTGTGGGCCGGGGAGGGGGCCGGGGGGGGGTTCTGTGTATGTGTGCGAGCGCACTTGTGCGCGTGTGTGTGCTGAGACAGAGCGCGAGGGCGGGGGCGTGCGCGCGGACGCTCATGCGTTATCAGCGTTGAGGCTAATCAACCCAGGGCAGGGAGATTTATGTTGGGACTCTCTCTCTCTCTCTCTCTCTCTCTCTCTCTCAGGCTAATCAACCCAGGGCAGGGAGATTTATGTTGCGACTCTCTCTCTCTCTCTCTCTCTCTCTCTCTCTCTCTCTCTCTCTCTCATCCGTGCTCACAGGCTCGCTAAGTCGTGGGATGGTTGTGTGTCACATTTGGTCGCGTGCTGAACCGCCTTTTTAAGTGGTGATCATATCCGGACCATGATTTGGATCTTTGCTGGACCAGCAACTCGACCATGAACTGGACCAGCAAGTGGACCAGGAACTGGACCAGCAACGGGACCAGAAACTGGACCAGCAATTGGTCTATCGCTCATAATTTGCGCACGCCAAAATCAGAATTCACACGCCCAATACGGGCTATTGCTGTGCTGGTGTGATCACACTCACACATGCTGTGGCTGGAGACTGCCTCGCCGCCCGATCAGGGCAGGACGGATCGGCGCCAAACCCGAGTCGTCAGCACCCACCTAGCAGTTTGAAAATCACCAGGCCAGGAGGCCACCCCACTTTGCCATTCTGAACCCCCGTCTCCCCCTGTATATACGCATGGCTGCCCACAGCTACCGTGGCCCCAACGCACCCTCATTATGGCCGTACCAGACAGAAAACATAGCTTGCATAAATTCATTATGAGGGTGTGTTGTGCTCGGGGGAGAAAGGTAACCAGGGGCATATCTATTGTCGGGCCCTTGTGGTCCCTGCAGGGCGGATCATATGCAGGGGGGTCCAACATGGAGCACCCTATGGCCGGCTTGGACCTCAGTTGGCCCCTGGGGCCGCGGGGAACGCAGCCCTAAAAGCTCTCGCTTTGTGGTGGACAAACTACAGGCAGCCAAAGAAAACAAAAAACAAAAAACAAACAAACAAACAAACTACAAGCAGTGCCTGCCCTCACGGTAAGTCCATTGGCCCCTGGGGCTGCGGGGAACGCAGCCCTAAAAGCTGTTCCTTTGTGGGGGAAATTTTTGTTTTGCCCTTCAAATTCGCAGCCCTAAGGCTGCGGTATAGTGGGCTTCGGCGTCTGCGTCAAGGTGTAGCATTTTCGGCGGCGGGCGACCAGGACGCAAAGTGGGTTTTTAGGGGGCAAAAGTTTGGGGGGGACCGGTCCTTGGCAAAATTGGGGACTACCTACAGGCAGCTCTGCAATGACCGGGA